GAAAAGAAAACAAAGGAAGCTACTGAGGAGGAACTTTTCCAGGTTATCAACAACCATTTCGTCCATCTAGTAGAGTATCTCAAAAGACTTAGCAAAGCAGTTCTTTTTTAGAAGAAGGACATAAGTATGAGAGGTTGTGTGGAGAAATCCTGGATTTTTAACTCGTTCCATTTGAAGTTTTATTTTCAACAAGAGCTTCTAACACGTTTCTTCTAGGAAATCCAAAAGTTCATGATGTAATCAACTCAGGGGTGGACAAGCTTCATCATCTTATATCTTCTATTTGATTAATGAATTTCTATTATTTTCAAAAAAAACTTCTAAGAAAACTCTTAAAACTTTAGCTATCTTGGATTATTGAAAGACACTATACTTAAATGAGATCTCGTGAAAATAAACGGACAACCCTCCTAAGGATGCAAGCCAAGTAGTTAGTCCTCCCGAAGGAGTAGACTACTAATCAAAAAAAGATAGTCCTCTAAATGATGCATAATACATAAAAATTCATTTGGAAAAAGACTCCTCTAAGTCTAAACTTAGAAAAAATTAGCAAAGGGGCAAAAAGTTAATTCCAAATTTTCTACTACATTATATCATAGAACTCGTATTTGGCTTTTTGTGGCAGTTTACAAAAAAATTCTTAACTGAATAGATGGAACTTGATTTCCATGTGAAGCCATAATATATTCAAGATTTCAAGTTACCTTTATTTCCATTGTATATCTTTCATTCAAGTAAGCAAAATCCTTAATGCATTACTTTTAAGTAAATAAAATTACAAGGAGCAAATCTTGTGCTTAATGTAATATGTTCTTAGTTTTATTTTTTTCCCTTCAAAGAAAACCACCTAGTATGGTAGGGGTTTAGCCACCCTACCATTTGAATAACTTTTATAATTTTCATTCCTTGTTTCGTTGTTGTTTTGCGAGAAAGAAGATAATTACTTCTGCATATTAGGATTAAATGTTTATCATAAGTCATTGTTGTTTGGTATGTTGTGTATATGTTGTTGTAGCAAGCCTTTCTCTTAATTCGGGTGAATGCTATCACCATGATGATCAAGTAATTGCTAAGTTTGAAGATCAAATGCAGCAAGAAAGCTATCAAAGAAATTCCAATCTCAGTTTGAAGATTAAAGGCAACAGCAAGAATATCAATGAAATTCCAATCTCTCATAAGCTAATACAAAGCTTTACCATCCAAAAAACCTATAAATTCATCATCAGAAGCTGCCACACCGTCAAATGGTGAATCCCAAAACCCTCATCCAAGAATTTGTTTTAAAGCTATAAAAATCATTTTGATACAAGGAATTTCACCTAAAACTACTAAAATATTGTCACTAGTAACTTTCATTGTACATAAAACCATATTCATAAATAGTCCCTCCAAGATACCATTTTGGAAATCACTTTTGAGTTAAAGGATTTCGTAATGGTAAGAGGTAAAAGTGCAATTCTAGAAAGCAAACCTCGACATATTAGGCCATAGCATGACCCATGAATTTGACACCCATAATGTCAAGAACTTCATAAATGTCATGTTTTATTTTATAATAGACCTTGTTTGTATGTGTCTATAATTAGATACTCAAACGAAAGTACAAACTTTAGCCATGTATTAGTCCTTTGTTATGTCATTACCATCTTGATGAAAGATGAATTGTTTGTTTGAGCTTACCATGATTTAGATGTACCTTGAAATCGTGTAACAGCTTTCAAGATAACTTTATTAGCCACATCGGTCAACAGCAATTTTCCAAAAGTTACACCACCCTACACACAAAGAGATTATAAAAATTCATAATGGTAAAATATCAGTTTAAGACGCATATATTTCTACCCTACTATGATTCTAAGTATCTATTAAATTTTCTTTTATGTTACTCTTGAGCTATTGGATGACAAGAAGCTGGTTACTCAAGGGAAAATTTCTGAAACTTAAGAGGCTTGAATCGTTGGTTGAACCTTGACTAAATCTTTCCCAAATCGGTTTTTCAAAAATAATTGAATTGTTTTCAACTAGCTTTTTGGAATTGAGAGCATATATCTAAAATGTTTGACAACCATGCAGACTAACAATACCATTTTTGTTGTGAAAACTGGCCAAACACATAACCACATGAAGCTGCAATGAATAATTTTGCCACCTACATGATTAGATATTGCTCATTTTCCTCACTAAATTCAACAGTTAACAACTGGGAAGGGGAAGCGTAACTCAACATTCAGCATGAGGTCATATCGTCTTCGTATCTGTCTCTGAGATCATTTTAAAGCATAGACTGTTCATAGAAATTATTAAAGAAATCGTACGTGAATGAAACATAATTGGAGATGTCAAGTGAATTACTAGCGGAGTCATGATGTTATACGAAAGAAAATTAATATATACTTAAACACATAATAGTGTAGAAATATATGTGCATTAAATTGATAATCTACCATTTTGAATTTTTATAATCCTCTTTGCTCCTTCCATCCCATTGTTATTGTCATATTTTTACTTTATTAATGTCTCAAAATAAGAGTCATCATTTCAAATTTAACACATGTTATTGTCAATTTATTAATGCCACCTTATCTAGACATATGATTATCATGTCTCCATAAAACGACTCTAATATTGGGACGGAGGGAGTATGTGTAGTGTGGGGAGTAATGCTCATAATAGTCTTCACATTTTTTAGGAAAATGGCCATTTTGATCCTTCAACTTTTGGATTTTGGCCAATATAGTCCCTTGTCCATCTTCATGACCATTTTAGTCTCTTATCTTTACAAAAGAATGCCAATTTAAGACCTCTAATGGAAAATTAGAATTTTTTAACAGAATTAGTTACATATAAGGCATGTGCACTATTAGAAATGATGGTTTTGGTCCATTATCTTCAAAGTCATGTCCAATTTTGTCCCTTATATGTTTATTATGGTTTTCTAGTTTCTCATTAAAAGTCCAACATTGATTTTATTTTGTGAAAATGCGAGTTTAAATTACTGAAAAGATAAAATTAGACATGATCTTGATGGTAATAGACCAAAATAGTCATTTTCAGCACTTCACATGGCTTGCACTTAACTAATTCCATTAGAGATTTTCATTTTTTCTGTTTGATATCCTAGATTATCTCTTTTTTTTGTAAAGATAAAAAACTAAAATGGCTACAGTGATAAATAAGGGACTAAATTGATCAAAACTCTGAAGATAATGGACCAAAATGGCCTTTTTCCTTTTTCTAAAATGGAGCATCAAAATATGAAGTTGACTAACCAAGCTTTGAAGATAAAACTGTTCACGAATTTTTTCTTTCCCTAACTTACCAAAACAAGAGCTTCAAAGTTCAACTAGTTTTTATGTTATGGTACAAATATTTAATTTATGTAGAAGATACTTTGGAATGTGGCCATGCCAACTATCTCATTACTAACTAGTTATCACCTAGTGCATTACACGGGCATCTGTTTTGCTTTTACGTTTTCTTTAGTTTAAGTGAAACTATGTTTTTTTTCCTCTATTAATTTGGAGAATGAATCAGAAAGAACGTAGCAAGGACTATTATAAATAAAATGAAGAAATTTCATCAACACCTTTTATTACTTTCATCATATTCATCCTCCTTAATATACGAGGTGAAATTATTAAGATAAAAAATTCGATACCTATTAAGAAAAAAAGTATGAAGACAAAACGAAGAATCATTACTAAACCCAAAGAATTTCGAGCAAAACATATGAAGAAAATAAAAGTTGAAACCTTCCTAACGTGCCTGCAAGTGCAAAATGTGAGAACCCTGAAAATAGACATATAAATATCAGTGCATATTTTATTTGCATTTTAATTCTTTAATAAATTTTAGCACGAAGTCCAATTGTTTTTAAATAAGTATGTAGAATTAAACGTTATGTGCAAAATAAAAGAATTGTGCTAAACTACTAAACTTCTTAGTTTTGTTACATTAACTTCATATTTCGATGGTAAACTATTTCATTGATCTAATCATTAATTACTTTGAATTCTAGTATTGTAACTAATTGTTTTGAAATAAAAGTGTAAAGATAATTTCTATGTAATAAATAATATAATTGTGCCAATATTAAATTATTCGGTTTTGCTATACTAAATTAATATTTCTTGAGTTAGATTAATTCTATTACTTTAAAATAAATTCTTTGATTTCCGATAACTAGTTTTAATCGTTAATAATGTTAAATGTTAATAGGAATTTCCGCGTTAAGATGAAGACCAATGAATTTTAGATAAATATGATTCTAATATACTAAACATACTTAATGCGTGAAAATTCGATAAATATATCCTTATCTTTCTTTGTTTTCACAATAAGTGCGTAAAAATAATTTTTATGTGCAAACTGACACCCTTGGATTAAATTATTGTTTCACTTGACTTTATATTGCTAAAACGATAAATTTCGAGTTAGATTAACTCTATTTCTTGAGAAATAATAATTGAAAATTCTAATAACTAATTTAATCGCTAAATAATATAAGAATTACTAGGAACCTTAATATTCAAGTTTAATCGATAAATATTTGATAATAATGGTTCAGGTATATTAGGGTATGATTAGGCGTTCAAATCACACTTGGGGATAATTTTTAGAATTAAGTTGGAATTGAGAAATTAAGTTGAGATTAGGGAGCAAAGTGAAAAGACTAAAATACCCTTACATTTTCATGCAAACCAAACAAACCCCCTGACAGCAAATTCAATCACCGCAACTACTGGCCAATCTGGTCTGGTGGTGGTTCTGTCCCCATCGGTCCCCCCATAGGTCCAGTTGGATCTCCCCTCTAGTTAGGTTAGAATAGAGTAGAAATAGGAATAGAGTTGACGATTGACAAAAAAAAAAAAAAAAAAAAAACTACCGGCCAATCACATTTTTGCTAAATCGATACGCAATTGATTCCTACACGCAATCTCTGATCCAAAACAGCGGCACCTTATACCATACTCTCCAATTCATAACACAAAACCGCAAACCATTTCTTCCTTTCTTAATACCAAGATACCGCTTTCACAATCTCATTTCCTTCTCTGCACAACTCCACCGAAACCACTGCAATCCCTCTCCACAACCGCACCTCACCTCTTCCTTTACCTTAGTCCGAGAGCAAGAGAGATTGAGAGCTGCAGTCTCGGTTCCATCGACAAGAGTGAGCAAGATGGAGCCGAGCTTCTTGTTTCTTTTCTTTCTGTCCGTAACTTATAGAGGGAAGAGAGTGACTTGCGATCCATTCTGCCTTCCATCCGTGAGCTGGTGAAGAGCTTGAGACCACATTTCCTTCATCCAGCCGCAAGCCAGAGCAAGGGAGAGAGGGAGAGATAGCGGTCTGCAATTTCTGGGCTGCCGAAGGGAGGAGGATTATTTCTGCTGCTAACCGTGTGTGTGAGCTCCATTTGAGGTAACTTCTGAGCTGAAATTAGTTGGTTATAGGCAAGTGAGGTCAGCTATGGACTTGCATGTGGTGCTTGTGAGGTTAGATGAGGATTTGTGACTTAAGAAATCTGATTTGGAAAAGAATTAAAGCTGTCGAAAGTTTGAAGCTGGAATTGCAGCTTGTTTCTGGAAATTTCGGTTCTTACTTTGCTAGCTGTGATCATCTGAGCATAAGGTTGTGATTAGCTAAGTTGATAACACAAAGATTAATGTACGCATGCTGGATTGAGTGTCCGGATGAGGAATTAGGAGCTTGAGAAAAATCCGATCCAGTGAAAATGATTTCTGCCGTGAGCTTGAGATGAAAAATGCAGTTGTAATCTGCTTAATTTCGATAATCTGAGCATGAAACCGTGTTTAGCTAATTAAAACTTGGATGATTAAGTTGATTAGGGCTTTGCATGTTAACTCTGTGCAGCCGGATGATGAATCAAGAAACATAAGAAATTCTGTTTTTATGAATTGTTGCAGCCGAGAGCTTGTCCTGTATTTTACAGCTTCATTTGATTCAATTTTGTTGTTTGGAGTTTGTAACCATGATTAACTAGTTAATAACATGATAATTGAGCTTTGCATGTAGCTAATTAATGGGTTTAAATCAGAAAAATAAAATGAATTAGAAATCTGCTACACGTAAGTTCGACCGAGGCCAAGCTAAACAGAATTTCTGGATTTGTTTTAGATGAGTTTAATTGCTGTTTGAATCTGGTTTTGGTATGAAAATCTCTACTAGCTAGCTAAGAGTTTGCATGTCTTAATGGAGTACTTAAACTCTGTTTTAACCGAGGAAAAACTGGATTAAGAACTTATAATTGCTGGAAAATTTTTGTGAACTACCGTGAGTTTGAACCTGGAAATTTTGAGGTTTGTGACCATTGTTTGAATTTAATTCCGAACTAGAATGTTAATTGGTTAAGATAAGTTGATGCATGACAAATTTGAGAACCTAAAACCATGTTTTAGCTAAGGAAAAGTTGGATTTATAAACCTCTAAGTGCTGGAAAAGTCTTGATAGCCGAGAGGCTTGAGCAGGGATTTTCAGTTGTCTTTGGAAATTTTAATTGGTTTCTGGAAATTTATTTTATTTTTCCCTTGGAATATAATGGTTTAGAAATACATAAGAGTTGTAAATTCTAAGTTGTGTAAGTTGTTTAGCAATGAAATATTTGATATATTGGAAGATGGAACCAAAAATGTTGGTATATGAATGCTGGAATTTCTTTTGTGGTAGCCGAAGGTTGAGTTGGAATCTCAGCTTGGTTTTTAAATTTTTCCTTGAAACGTGATGGATGGAAATGCCTGGAATATGTTGTTTTGGAGTTCTATAAGAAATGTATGGATGGTTTGAATAAAAACATTTTGGTATTAAAAGAGAAAAAGGAGTTTTTCACAAGTGAAAAATGAGTTTCCAGATTTTCGGATTTCTCTGACCAGTCTCAGTAAAATGCTTATATCTTGGTGTAGGAAAATCCGATTGAGGTGCCGTCAGTGGCATTTGAAACTAGAGTCATGGGCCTTTGTTTTGTAGAAATTTCATATTTTTCCTCCAAGTGTACTGCTGTCCGTGATTCCTCAAAGTAGGCTGTCCTGTTTGAATGTCCTGTTTCCTCAGGAAACTGAATTCTTGACTTGGATAGAATATTTGGCCCAATTGTGATTTGAATCTCTGAAAAGTGTCTTCTGGGATGTGATAGTATTAAAAATCTATTCTACAACAGTATAATTTTCATAATTGTTTGATTTGTGGAACATGAACTAAAGCAATTTTTGAAGGAAAATATTTTTCCAGCATGACCGAACTGGTTGGGACTTTTGGTGAGTTTATTTGCTGGATTTGTGTATTATTTACTTTAGCTTGGTTTGGACAGATTATAATCTATATGTATAGTGATTCTAGAAAATAAAAGTGGAAAGTTTAATGGATATTTTAGATTCTTGGAATCATTTGGATCTCGAGTTGGTTATAGTTTTTGTTCTTGTTTTGAATGAATTGGTATTTGAAAGTGTGTATTGGTTGTCAAGAGCTAATGATTGATGAAGCATTGGCCATTTGAATGATTTTATAAGTACTACAGGGTGATGAAAGTTAATTGCTGGAATGTCTTGGAGGCCTTACTTTTATTTTTATTTGCTTATGATGGGCTTGCTGAAACCAAGTGCTAATGATTGATGAAGCCTTGGTCGTTCAATTTTATTTTTATCAGAAATGCAATTGTTGAAATCTAGGGCTAATGATTGACGAAGCCCTAGTGATTTGCTATGTGATTTTGCCATATTTGATCCATAATATGATTGCGAAATGGAATCAAAACTGTGAAAGTCGTTTCGACCTTGCGAACTCGAGTAACTGTGATCAAATTAATCAAAAATATTTTTCCAGCTAGTATTAGATTATAAAACTCAATATCTAGTGTTTTGCCTAAAACTTTCCAACTCGATAAATTTTCCTTTAGCTTAAACTAGCCTTAATAGTTATAGAAAATAATTTCTCTAGCTTTTGAAAATCCCAAGTCTTATTTTAATTCCTTTTCTTTCTTGAAGATTTGCCTTGGATAGTTGTCGGTAGGAAAAGTTCCAAGATAAGAGTTTTAATAGCTTTAATTAAAAATGTAGAAACTTGCTCAGCAAGAAACTTTATTTTAGATAAAATAGTTTTTAGTGACAATTTTTACAAGAACCATAGCTTAAAAGAAATCTTTCGAAGTATCTTTCTAGTTTTGATATTAAGTGATTTGTCGATTTATCTCAAGAAAATAATACTAATTACCTTTTATAGGGAAAACTACAAGAAACATTTTTACTACTTTTGCCAAGTTTCAACCTAAGTAAATCTTTGAATTTACTTCGAAACGATAAACTAGTTATATACTCAATAAACCTTTATAGTTATAAACCTGGAACTTGAATAGAAATTGAAAGTGTTATATTTGTACTTTAAAGGTCAAACTTGATTTTAATAATTTTAAATAAACGGCGCAGAAAACTTGTTTGGCAAGAAATCTTATTCAAAGCAAATTGGTTCTGGTTTGCATCTCTAGAAAGAAAGAAATCCTACGAAGTATTTCATCACTTTCATCAGTTTAACTCTAGGGAAATTGTTGATTTATTTGGAGTAGATAAACTAGTTATGTACCAGATAACCTTGTATTTATAAACCAAGAACCCGTATAACAACACTTATAGTTTTAAAACCTGGTTTTCTAGGGTATTGCGAGGACGCGGAATTCGATTCCAACTTGATATCTGAACTCCACTCTTGGTGAGTGTCCCTGCTTGTTCTATGCCTAATCGTTTAAAGTGCTTCCTTGACTTGTTATGTGATAAGTTGAAAAAAATTGGTTTCTGATCCATCGAAGTGAGCTGTGTGTACTTTATCACACTAGCCGTTCGAGTGGTGACTTGTGCAAAATATTTTCTCCTAAATCCTTGATTCAAAAATGGAGTTGCGTCGTTGGGTGAATCCCTCGACTCTTGTATCCAACTACCATGAATCTAAATGTAGTTACGTCGTTGGGTGAATCCCTCGACGCTTGAATCTAACTACAAAAGTCATTTGGGTGAATCCCTCGACGCTTGAATCTGATTGCAATCACGTCCTTGGGTGAATTCCTCGACGCTTGAATCTGATTGCAATCACGTCTTTGGGTGAATCCCTCGACTAATTTTATACGGGTATATCTCGAGTATACTGCGTCGGTAGACGAAGTTCGGGCCCGAAGCAGAGGTATGAACGGTGACGGGTTAGGATTAAAATAAGTGGATCTACATGGACTATAAGTAGTGAAAGTTGACGGAGGGTCAACTACGAGGGTATCTGATCAAGCGAGGAGAATGGCTCCCGAGAGCCCCTGTATCCTACCTTGTGCGGTTATATACGCTTTCTTAATTGATTAAATTTGTTTAAATTGTTATCCGTTGTTTGATTTATGTGATTGCATGTTTTGGGGCACCACTGAGCTTTAGCTCACCCCACGTTTATTGTTTTCCTTAACAGGTCCTGGAAACTGAAAGCTGGATGCTTACTTATGTTTTCCTTATGGATTGTATTTGACTACTATAACTTATTCTGTGGGCTGTAATGTGTTTTTTTTGGATAATGTACTTTTCTTTTTGGATTGCCACTTGAAGCTGGAAAATGTGTAAACCCTAATTCGATTACTTGGTTTGTAAGTTTGTATTTGGGATTTATGTATGTATCTATCCGGATTGGTGCGACTTTATACTTTGGTACGTAGCACGTAGGACGTTTAAGAGCACCGACTGGTTATTTTATCACTGCTGTCTCTGAAGTTAATGTGGCTTTAAGGATGATCCTATTCGGAAAAAATTGTTTTGTAATATATTAGGTTATTCTTCGAAAGGATTCAGGTTAGATTGCTCGCGTGAGTCCTGGCGAGAGTTGGGCAGACGGCCCGCCAACCCTTTGGTTCGCCTCAGGGGGAAGTGGGGTCGCCACACAAAAGATAATAGGTAAGAGATTTACATAGTTGTTTAACATGAAAAAGCGTCCACGGAGGGCTAAGAGAGAAATTTGATGAGAAAAATTTATCCAGTACTGAAAAAGATAAAAATAACAAAAAAAAAGGCTGGAGAGAGAATAATGATGAGGTCTTATAAAAGCGCCTATAAAAAACAAACTCGTTTTGTCAAAATTGCTAATATGTATCAAATGAACTCGGGAGTTCCCCCAAACACTTCACAAGGCTGAATTCTTTGGCCTAATTGAGGCAGAAAATAATTGTCCCCATTGAAGTGTTTCAAGGGAACTCTAGAGAACATCTAATGCTCTATTAACTAATCTATACTTTTGCCACTTGTTAGGTCACTCTATTTATAGGGCTCTCTGGTCTCCACACATGCAGTTTCTGCATGTAATTACTAATCACAAGCCGCATGCTGTTTTCTGGAGAATGGATGAACCTAGTCATGATATAGGGTCAGATGAAAGACAGATAGCCAACAAAACTTGAGAGGTCATCTTTCTTCAACCTTTTCAATCAGTAGGTATCCCCTTTGATCTCTCTTTTTCAACTTTTTGTTCATGAATATAATGATATTATTTTTCCATATAAAAAAGAATGGCGAATCTATCAATCTCATGCATGTTAATTTGGCAGAAGCATACAACTGCTAAACCTAGTCAGCTAGATACATAAATCTAGTAATTATCCATCTTAAACATACTAAAAACTGTGGGATTGTTTGTCCAAGCAATTCGCATCACTTTCTAGTTGCATTAAAAACCATAATTTTGCTGATAAACCTGGGAGTTAAGGATATGAGAGTTGGGATACGAGTGGTTGAGCTCTAGAGGCTACAAGGGTAGTAGGTTTATTCTTATCTTTAAACTTGCTACATCATTCTAACTAGGTTCAAGCTAGAAAATCCATTTGGAGACTTGATTTTTAAGAGATCCTTTTAGAGGGCTAGTTGTCCTAATCAGGAAGGCCACAAATGCACCTGTACAAATCTTATCCACTCAAACAGAAGATAATTATGGAATCAGCTACACCACTACAAATTCTCTGCTTTGCATATCCGCACTTCATTGGTTAATTTCCATGTGAATCTATCTTTCAAAAAGACTGTCTTTGAGTGGTTGCGTTCTTTAGCCTAAATTAAACGACATGACAATCAAAGACAAATTTTGTATTACAAGAAGTGTATGGTTGATTAATCAAAGACAAATTTTGTATTTTGTAACACAAATAGGTTTGTAGGAATCCAAATTCTACCATTTTCATTGAATAATGATTAATGAACTATTGGCCGTAGAAGCACCATGAATCTTTTTGTTGCACAATCCTTGATTATGTCTGGTTTTTCTAAGATCGTCCTAATTTAAGTCCTTGAGTAAAAACTCACCCATCTGACCTCCAAAGTGGTTTGAGAACCTTGAGACTACACCCCCTTTACCAGCCAAACTCTCCAAACCCACCTTCTTTTCTAGTCAGTTAGATTATTTTCTACATATAATGACTGACAACCAAATGGCTTCTGATCATTTCTACATTACAAAGCACGATCTCTTAGTGTACTTCTAGCGTATAAAATTAACCATTTGAATATTAACTGACTTGTTAGATAAGGATCCATTTGAATGGAATAATGAAGTAAATGCTGGTTTTCAAACTAGAACTGTACTGCACCAGTTTTAGCCTTGCTACATTTTTTTGAAACATTAATTATATATTTATGATTAATACTTATAGGGCAATAGAATTCATAAGTACTAATTGGCTAGCAATACTGCTAAAGCCATAATCTTCTTGTCAAAGTAATATTTATCCAAACACGGACATTACTCTCAATTAGTTAATTAAGGATGGCAATGGGGCGGGGGACCTCTCCCCTGTCCCCCGGCCCGCTGCCTACAAATTCCCCCTGCCCCCGCCCCATCTCCCCTCCCCCGCTCCCCCCGCCCCGTCCCCGCCCTGCCCCGCTTCCCCCGCGGGACTAATAAAAATTTGTTATATAATTTTATTATAGTTAAAATTTAACAAATAATTAAGTGCTAAAATATCAACACATCATCAAATTATTATTCATTGTAATTTCACAATTGAAACTTATAAAAATAATCAAACAAAAGTTATTTGAATACAATCCAACATGATGGTATAAATACAATTAAAGTAGTCAAGTTTTCACTTTTGGCACAAATACAATCACCAATTCATTATTGTACTTGTGCTTTTTTTTTGAGAAAAAAATGTTATTGTATTAAGTGTAATTAGGGATTTAGTATAAATGTATTAGTAAATATAGTATAACCAATTAATAATTTGTGTTAGTACACATATATAATTATTAGTGTAATTGAAAATATCAATTATATTACATATACTAAATATACATTATATAATAAATATAACTAATAATATCATTATCATAAGTTTGTAACTAATTAAATTATATATTATATATATAATCATATACATATATATTTTTATATATTTATTTTTTTAAAATGGGTGGCGGGGCGGGGGATGGGGCAGGGGTACACTCCCCCACCCTCCAGCCCGTTTCTAAGCGGGGGGTAAAAAATTCCCCCCGCCCCAACCCCTGCCCTATTAGCCCCCGCGGGCACCCGCCCCCATTGCCATCCTTATAGTTAATGCCATATATTCTAATTGTTGTTTTTGAACTCATTATCCACAAATTACTCATTTTCTTTCTCTTTCTCATTGACAGAACGAGCTTTTGTCTACTTCTCTCACTTCCCCTCCAATTCTTGCCTTCCAATCTCTCTCCCTATTTCCTATTTTACAATTTGTTTTCATTTTGTTAAATTTTTTGTAGTATGTGGTTCAAGATCTTTTGCATAATGCTCTTCTCGGCTTTGCTCTTGCTATTTTTCCATCACTATCAGTAAGTGTTTCTTTTTTTCTTCCTTGTTTGCTTTTATTCCATTATGTTTTCTATTAAATAATCTCTGCTTACAATTTTTTCTTTTATTCCATTATGTTTTCCATCACTATCAGCACATTATTACAAATTTCATCAATTTGCTTATAACTCCTCCATATTCCAGGTGCTTCTTATTATGAGTGCTTTACCTGCTTCTGAACGGCTTCATCAGTTTTAACTAAACTTTAAATCTTTACGGTGCAATGGTTGCTTTGATGGACAAGCTCATATTCGTTAGCAAAAGAAGAGGGAGGTCATTAGGCCACATCTACTCATCCATACTAAAGTCATTTTTTTCATATTATAAAATTAGAACCTTGAGGGTCTACAATGTTTTTTTAATTCATATTTTTTTATTAAAGATCATGGAAAAACTGTGCGATTGGTTTTATAATGTCATTCAAACTCAATCCTATGATGTATGCAACATGCTTTATTTCTTTGAATTTTGCTTGTTTAATGTATTAGTGTATTGATCTTCTTGTAAACTTCACTATTTTTTCCGCTTTTCTAATTATTATATGAATCTTGATTTTCATGTGTCCATATTTTATAATAACTAGATTAAATTTATTTTTAATTGTGTTATGTTCTATATCCCATGAATATAGAAGGAAAAGTGTGTGTACATTTTTTGGACTATTTTCATTTTAGATTGTTTGTTGTTTTAGTTAAATCATATCGTATTTGCAAAAAAAATAACTTCTAAGTATGACTTTGAAAATTAAAAATAAGAATGCTTTAAAGTAAAAGAATTACAATCTAAGAAAAAATATGGTAAAAAACTCAAAACCAAATCAATGAGTTATGAAAATAATAGATAAATAAATTAAAGAGATAGAAGAAGTAGGGAAGCTATTCAATTAACTAGAGAGAGGCGAAAACAAATAATTGGTGGATAATTGACCCAAAAGAATCAATGAGAATATATGGTGTTGAATAGTTGAGGGTAATGTTGGTATTTGGATAAATATTATTCTAGCAAGAATATTATTGCTCTGACAGTATTGTCAGCCTTACTAACTACATTTGGTATAAAATGCGAAAATGGAAATGTTTTAGTTGGAAATCAAAAAGTGCGGCCCATGAAGTATTTCTCAAATTAAGGGTGACAACGTATGTGTTTGGTTGGGATCTAAATTTTTACCATCTAAACCCATCCCAAACTCAGCCTATAACGCATAGATAATAATACAAAACAGTATTAAGATAATAGCACATGTATAAATTTTCACCCATTTATATGTATTTAGATAATACCACAAAGAATGCTGTATACATAATAGTGCATACATACATATATGTATATGCGCATAGGCATGTTTGTATTATAGTTACTACATATATTCATGTTAACACATTTATTTTTGGAAGAATCTTTGTCATTCTTTCACCATATATTTTGTTAATCAGAATATACTTTTCCTCAAGGAAGTTTCAAAACTATTAAAATTTAAATTTTTTCTCAGACGACTTTTTGTAGAGCACTAATCATGGTAAATAAAATAGGTCAATGACCCAAAGTCACAAGAACTGTGTGAAATTATGGATATTCATGGGTCCATACCCATTAGGTCCCTTGTACACCTTTGGACCCGGGTTTGAATCTAAACAAATTAATTTTGGTGTGGATCTAAGACGGTCAAATGACGAATAGATCCGAAGCCCAAATCCATTTAGAGTTTGTATCCAAACACTTTATATCTTATGAAGTTGAGCCCGCAAATTTCAACCCAAACCAAGCACTAACATCCTTTACAAGAATCACGATATACGTGTATATTGGTTGATGATATGTAAAAGCATGTTAAGCAACTTATAAATTATGATTTGAAGAATATAGTCTGACCACAGCAGCGATTGGT